AAGAATTATGGTTTAGAATTTCAAAGTTTATCTTTATCAAAATTTAGTACGATTTTAAAAATTCTTAATCTGAAACTTTTTAAATCAATCTTTTAATCGATTCTGTACTTACTGAAAGTTGTTTTGTTCAAATGTTGAGGACCGAAGTGTTATAAGCGAAATGTTCTTTAAGTAATTAAACTTAATATGCTTTATTTTCCACCGTTATATAACTTCACATAAAGTAATTTAAGGACGAGATAAATTGTTTATTACGGAGTTACACAAACAATATCTTTACCAGCTCGTGCTTATAAAACACCGTTTTGACTAATCTAAACGAATTAAGTTTTTTTTACACAAACAATACCCATGAAATGTAGTTTCATTAGATTAACCATTAAAATTAACATTGAATGAAACTTCAAATAAAAACAAACTTCTCATTAAGTAATTTAAGGAAAATCGTAAATGTTTTATTTGCGGTGTTACACAAACAATACATTGGCGCCGTCATTCAGAACCTGGAAAATATTTATGTAATGCATGTGGCTGTAAACTGTATACGTTTTGTGTTTGAGCATATTTATATGAACTTATTAAGGATTTTATTTGTGTATAAGGATTTCAGTATTTTCTACATATGTACACGAACATTACTTTTGCCACTTAAGGGTTATTTAAACTTAGAAAAAAACAAGCTAGTTAGAAGCATCCCTGGACAAAATCAGTTCGTCGAATATTAGAAAAATAGCTTTAAAAAATTTATCAGAGAACTAGTATCAACTCCTATTTTTATAAATATTTTAGCGAATCACAAAAGATCGAAAATGTTTTACTTGCGGAGCAAAGAAAACATCAAAGTGGCACCGTCATTCAAATCCTGAACAATATATATGCAAAGATGTTACAATAAACAAAAAATGATAACAAGAAAACAAATAAAAATTAAACAGTACAGGAATCGATTAAATAATATTTAAATTATTATGATTTTTTAAAATTTAATTTTCTGACGTTATTGAACAAACTGTAAAACAATGTAAAATATAACCTCTGTAGATAATACATGTAAATTTTTACATACTAGTTCAGATTTTTAAAAATGTATCCTTATTTCATATTCATAATTAGTTGAATCTATAATTCCAAAATATTTATTATAACAAACCAGGCTTCAGAAATTTATTTATTTATTTATTTATTTATGAGCAACCACATGGTATAAATAAAAATACACTAATACTGGTGAAAAAAAAGACAAATATATGTAAAAAAACAAATATATGTAAAAAGACAAATATATGTAAAAAGAAAAAATTTTTGTAAAATAAATTAATTTAATAGAATTATGTATTTGGAGTGTTTGGTGAAATAATTGTTTTGTTGTATATTTTGTTAAAAATTTTGTTTTATTTCACCTAACATTTAATAACCTAAAACTTAAGGAAAAATGTTTCCGTTATCTGATATCCATTTTTTAAATTACGGAAATCCGGAACCAAACCGAAAATTTGCAGTTATTCGTGACCGAGCGAGAATTTCTCGAGGGTTAGGAGTTATTAAGGATTAGCGTTGGGGTATAAGTGAATTTGTTGGATATAATAAATTTGATAAAAGGGGTTCTGAACTGGTCAAGGCGGATTTAACTGATATCAGAGAAGGATAACCTTGTGATCCTTCGATATTACGCCAAAATAAGGATATCAGCGGATTAGAAGTGATAAGAAAGAATGAGAGGGAAGTCGTGGATATCTGTTATTAATCCTGATAAATTCATAGATATCATTTATCCCTTAAATACCTCGATGTCTGGATGATATCAGATAAGAAAGATATGGAAGGATAAGAGGAATATGCAGTATTAGAATTACAATTCATTATACTTTAAGAAGTATAACCTACCAGATTTCTATCTTTTTCAGCGCCGCAGGCGAAAATTTTAAGAATTTTGGAAGGAAAATAAGCTAGATTTCTTCCTATTTTTTGCGCCGCATGGGAAAATTTTTTGATTTTAGCGTGTCAGAAGGCAAAAATTCACGTTTTAAACCACTACTTCCAGGAAAAATTTAAACGAATTATTTTTAGAAGGACCGTATACCGTTTATGCCGTTTATCTGAGACCCGTATACCGTTCAGTTTAATTTTACCAAAAAACCCGTTTAACGTATACGTTTACCGTTTAGCTAAACTGTCAACCCTACTGAATAGTCTCTAAAGATTTAATATCCTCTTAATACTAAATTACTCGATATACTCCTTAGCCACTAAATGCCTTTTAATTGCTACATTTTCTTCATAATAGGCTCAGATCATAAAACGATCATGCCATTCAATATTCCTCTTAATCTCTAGCTCGTTCTCTTAACTCGTACTTCGTACCACCCCTATTTTTGGAATCGTACTCGTACCTCGTACCACCCCCATTTTTTTGCTCGTACTCGTACCTCGTACCACCCCCATTTTTTTGCTCGTACTCGTACTCGTACCACTCCTATTTTTGGCCTCGTACCTCGTACTTACTCATACTTAAGAATAAAGCAAAAAATCGAAAATTTTTATGATTTTTTGGGGCCCAGGACATCATTTTTCAATTTTAAGCGTTGTATGTAATAATTTTTGAATCTTGGAAGGCTTTGAAGTTATCAAACCTCCAATTTCATCAATTTGCTGCGCCGCAGGCGAAATTTTTGAGCATTTTGGAGTGCAATGAGAAATATTTTATCCAAGATGGGTCGTGCTACTCGAAATCCTACATATTTTGCATCCGATTTTCATCTTCTTACATGGACCTTTTATCCTTTCCACCGAACTTTTCACATTTAATCCAGATTTCTTCCATTTTTCACCGCCGGTGGCGAAAATGTTAGAATTTGGAAGCCAATAAGCCAACTCTCTTATTTTTTAGCGCCGCAGGCGAAAATTTTGAAAATTCCGGAAGGCCGTAGGCAAAAAACTCACTTTTTAGTGTTCAAAGTAAAATATTTTAAGAATTTTAGAGGGTCAATATCTCATAATTCCTCAAGTAAAAATATAATAATTTTTAAAACGAAATTAAACTTACAAAATAAGTTATTTATGAGAAGAAAAATATTAAAAATCATTGGCAATTGAATAAGAATCGAACCGAGATTAAATCATAACAGACTTTGGTACAGCCAAGCACCTTCACCACTCTGCCACTCGCTCATATAATGGCGAATGAAAGGAAATAAATATATTTCTTTTAATTTTCCTATTAACACCAAATACGAGAAATACGAATTCGTACATTTTTAAGATCGTACGAGTACGAAGTACGAGTACGAATTTTAGTACGAGCTTCGAAGCACTGTATAACACTATAATTTACAAGCTTTATGGTCTTCAAATTTTAATACAATGCAGAAAATCAAAGTCAACGATGAATGTTTATATATTTCATCATTATTTATTCGATTCCATTTCACGATTTTTATCATTTTTCTTATTCATTCTCTGCTGTTTTAGTCCACAAGCATTACATAAATAGTGTTCTGTAACTGAATGACGACGCCAAAGTGATGTTTTAGTTGCTCCGCAAATAAAACAATTTACATCTTGAGGTATCGCCTAAAATTTTGTAAAATAGGCTTCAAACTAGGGCTCTTAGATAAAAAATTTTTATATATTACATAGGGCGGATGTACTTAGGCTTGCTTTCTTCCTTTAGATGCTGGATTTTAATTTTATAAAATAAATGTTATCCTTCATAAAATAAATAAAATAATGAAGATAAATCTATTTATTTAATATTGATCTTTCTACATTTAAAGAATTATGTTCTCTCAGAAATTACTTACCGGTTTTTAAATTGTTTTATAATTTGTTCAATAAACTCCGAAAATTAAAGTTAGAAAATCGTAATCATTTAAATATTATTTATTTGATTTCATTTCTTTTTGATTTTTATTTGGGTTCTTCTTTATTCTTTGTTGCTTCATGTAACAGGCATGACATATATATTGTTTAGGTTTTGAATGACAATACCACTTTGATGTTTTTGATTCTCCGCAAGTAAGACATTTTCGATCTTTTGTGATTCGCTAAAATATTTATAGAAATTGGGGTAAAAACTAGTTTTTAGATAAAATTTTTAAAAGATATTTTTCTAATTTTGTCGAACTTATTATGCTCTATTTGTCTAAGTTCCCATCTCCTCAATAAGATTCTGCAGGATTACCTAATAATGTATTTAAATGCTCGAAACATTTAAACCTACCAATATTTTTTATGAAAACATTGTTAATTATATAAATTTAAACCATTTTAGTCTGATAAAAATTTCCTTCAGGTTTCATTTTGCCTTTATATATTCTATACTTGTGACATGGATTGCACAAATAATGTTCTTTTAGGTAAATATACCAATTTTTGGTAATTGTAAATTTACAATTGAAACAGTTTCGTTTATTTCCTTCAATTATTCCTCCTATAAAAAATATCAATATGTATTTTTTTTAGGCAAATAAGAAAATAATTAGAAATATATACAACTAAAAAATAAAAAAAAACAGTTTACTTATTTTATTTCCAATTTCAATAATTCTGCTTCCTAAATCTTCCGTATATTCAACTTTTTGTTTTTCTAACAATTCAATTTTATATCCAATTAAATTTATTTCCGTCCAATAACTTGATAATAGTTTGTTTTTTTAATTTTCTATATTTTCTTTTAATAATTCATTTTTATTAACTTTTAATTTATTAAAATTTTCGCCGTTTACTGAAGTTTCGTAATAATTGCTCTTTTCAACAAAATTATTATTTTTTAAGACCTTTAATTCATGAAAAAAATAGAATCTAATTAAGTATTATCTAATAAAGAATACCCGTTTTTCAATTCTTTGTAAAATATTTTGAATAATTTTACTATTGGCAATATTAATCAAGATTTTCCTTTTAAATACAACTGTATATTCAGATCTAACATCTAGTTCAACATTAAAAATATTTCCTTCAAGGTTTAGGGCAATTCGATGTAAGGATCCTTCTATATTATATCAATAGCTAATATCATGTTGATTATTTCTCTTTATAATTTTTTTCGATACAAATCTCTTTTTTATGTCAACATTTTTTAAATAATTAAATTCCCTTTTTTCTCCCCAATCATCTTTTATTCTAACTCCAACTCTAACCGATTTTCCATTGCATTTAATATCAAACAGAATAATTAAGAGAATAATAATAAGTTTAATCATCTGAAATTGTGACAATTTCAAAAATTTTTTATTTTATTATGCCGATTATGATTTTAAGTTTACAAAAAAGTCTTATTTATGTTAATGACATTGAATGACTCCACATTAAATAAGGTACAAAATGGTACAGACTATTCATAGCATTTGAGTACATTTCATTAGAGTGATTATATGCACGAGTTTTTCGAGTTTGGTTTTCGAGTTTTTCGAGTTTGGTTTTTTTAGCGAGCTTTTCGAGCTAAGATTTTTTCGAGCGGGTCGAGTTTTTCGAGTCTTTTTTCAAAAAAATTTTTATTCAATCATCATCTTAATAATTTGGACATCTTTAATAATTTGGACAATTTAGTTCTAACAAAAAAGAAATGTTCCACGCGGCGCAGGCGAAAATTTTGAAAGGTTATTGATCCAGATTTCTTCCTTTATCAGCGCCGCAGGCAAAAATTTTGAGAATTTCTGAAGTCTAAGGGTGCAAATTTCACTTTTTTGCAGGCCATCACCACCTTCATTATCATAAAAATCATTTGACCACATTTATTTTACTATTTAACTTTATTTTCTCCGGAAATTTTTGTGAAAGCTGTTTGCTATTTTCCATAAAAATAATCGAAAAGAAACTATAGAAAGCAAACTAGAGAAAAGGGTAATAGTAGAGAGAGAAAAGATGAATAACTTTTAACAAAATGAAATTACAAAATTAACTCACATTTTGACAAGGTTCTTTCGAGTCTCGAGTCGAGCCGAAATTTATCGGTGCATTTTTTTCGAGCCTGGGTTTTTTCGATTCGGTTCGTTTTCGAGTTTTTCGAGCTGGGGTTTTTTCGATTCGGTTCGTTTTCGAGTTTTTCGAGCTGAAAAGCGTCGGCTCGCTCGATCTTTCGAGTTTCGGGTCGAGCGAGCCGGGAACCCTAATCAGGGTGGATCGCTGACAAAGGGGATTTGGAGTTGAGCGAGTAATTGGTGAAGCGTTCCAAAAGCCGGCCGGTCCTGGACTCAAAAATTTAATTGAACTCAAAAAGTTTTGTTTGGACTCATAAAGCATGATTTGACTCACAACGTAATGTGCGACTAGAGTGCCGCCATTAAAGTGCTGCCACTAGAAAGAGGTCAATAGAGAGCTGAGCCACTTGAGAGTAAACCAGTAGAGAGCGGGCCACTAGAGTCGAAATCGAAAGGAAAAATGTAGATTCTATCGAGAATCTTGGTTTTGAAGATCTTTTTTTGTATATATGTTTTTATATTTCTTGATAGTTTTGAAGATGGTATTTTTACAAAATTTGGTTAGTGTTTAATTTGCGAAAATATCAAATACTTAAGAGATGGAACGAATAAATCTTTGAGTTGCTTTGGCTTAAATCAACTTTTATTTTTGTGAACCATTATATTAATGTGGCTAATATTTATGGTTATCAGGGTTGTCGGTTTCATAACGTAGGGCAGACATTACCTACTATCAAACTTCTAAAATATCGAAGTCTTTTCATTTTTTTCTGTGGAGATGAAACAATTAGAAAAAATTTATTATGCAATACGACACATTATCATAATTTTATTTGTTTCATTCTTTTTATGTATCTTCGCCGATCGTAACACGCTTGGCATAAATATTGACCAGGTTCTGAATGACGCGCCCATTTTTTTGCTTGCTTAATTTTGCAAATATAACAATGACGATCCTCCTTAAATAAATTTTGTATGACATTATTATTATGGATGATTCGTTGTAGGATTATGTTTAATAATTTGCAGTCATTGGAGCAGTTAATGATATTGAGGGATTTTAAGTAATTAAGAGAGATTTACCTCTAAAACATATAGTACATCAATAGCACTTTTACTCGAACTCCCCGTTGAACTTTTATTTATCCCCATTGATCTTTTTTTACTGTTATGCACCGATACCCAGCTATATCCCTCTTTATTTCTCTATGTCAAATACAAGCCCCAGATATTCCCTTTAATCCGTCCAAATCCCCCGATATATCTATTAATTAATTTTTATCTTAGTAAATCCAGGGGGACTGAACTGAGGTATATACAATGGGGACTGAACATGTCGATTTTAAAAGTTACTGTCAAAAAATCAGACTAACAACTAAACTGCGTTTAACTTCTTCGAGAATCGAATGTGATCAGAAATCTAAATAAGAAACTAATTTCAGAAATTAATTTGACTGATTAATCAGCCATGCAAAAATAGAAGCTTTAATTTATCAGGGACCAGCAAAAAACATTTTTAGTATGAGACTATTAAGGAAATAATAATGTATAAATGCATATTATGCAAGAATTGACAATTAAATAATTTCAAATTTATTCTCTCCCTTCAATTTTTTTAAATAATCTGTCAAATAATACAAACAATATTGAAAAGCTTTTATTGAATATAATTTGTGATAATTAAATCTTCTCTTCTTTAATTTATTTTAAATTCTTATTTAATTGTTAACGTTGTTAATTGAATTTTTGTTGGTTATTATGTTGTTTATTTAGTTGTTTCAAGTATTCTTCCCATTGCTGAATTTGACTGACAGAATAACTAAAAAATAAAACTTTTTAATGAGGTAAATTTGACTGATCAACCCTCAGTCATCCAAAAATAGAGGAACAAGTTACATTTAATTGGTTTTACATTTCTTAATTGGGTTTGCTTATTACTTAAAGTTAATTTAATAATTAATATTAAGTAAATAAGCGAAAATTATTAGCCGATTGAATAAAGAATGAGCTGAACTGTTAAACCTGTGGCTTATAAAGGCCTAAATTTTGGAAGGCCAATAAGCTAGAAATCCTTAATTTTCCTCCCATTCTTCTTACAAAATTACAAATAGGGAAAAAAGGCCAAAGATAGCTAATAAGTTTTCATTAAGCATAAAGCTTCTTAACCATGTTTGTTTATTAATTAATCGATTCGAAACTTGCAACTTGGTCTCTGGGAAGTCTCTAGTTACATTACATATTACTTTTACAATATAGCAAATATTTCAATTAAATATGATTATTAGTCACAAATAAATAATGCATTAAACCGGTAGCGGCAAGGGTCTGAAATAATTTTTTGGAAGTTGGAGATACCAACTAAGAATGTTGAAAACCTTTGTGCATGTGTTACAAGGAATTGGTCCATCTTTATTTTTAAAAAAGGAAGGAAAAAGACTTCATCTCTAACTTGTTCCTTGACCTTATCGAAAGCTTATAGAGACCCAGTACTTAAAAGTAACGCCAAAAACAAGACATTTGTGACCGTATCCAGCCGCTTTACTATAATTAAACAATAACAGACATAAATGTCGTTAAAATTATTAAAGATAATTTGTTTAGAATTATTTGTTGTCCAAACATTTTGTAATTATTTAATTTTTGGGAGAATTTTTGACAAATTTTAAGAATAAATTTAATTAAAAATTTAGAAAAATCCTTAAAAAATCTAAAAAATTTTTTAATTAATTGATGAAGACGCAAGGGATAGGTACTGCCGAAAGTTTAACGCAGGAACGCGGGAGGGCATGGGTCAAAAAAGCGAACAACCGATAGGCCTTACTCCAGGGCTGTTGTATTTTAAAAAGTGATAGACAGACAACACAGAAGTAGATAGAAATTTAGCTCAGATTTGGACTCTGTAGTTTAACCTTAAATATTAGAAATGAATTTAGGCTTAATTAGGTCAACATATTATGTATTGAGGTGGACTAATGTTAGTTAATTTTTATACTACCAAATACACCAAAAATATAAATTTGTTTATTTTTTCGATTCATATAAGCAATACTGATTTAAAGAACTTTGTGTCTCACTCACTCAATCTGGGTTAATTTTTTGGAAGTCAAGCAGCGCTTAGACTAAAGTCAATTAATTAACTTATCTTGCAGCATTTTAATTAGGGTTGGGGCACGGTTCGGTTCGAAAGATCGAATCGAGTCTCGAATTTTGGCCCGAAAAAGATTCGAACGGTCCGATTCGATAAAAATGAGTCCCGAAAAATGACTCGAACGTCGGCAGGGTTCAAAAATCCAATTCTAGTTTTAAACACTTAGGCGTGGTTAAACAATCTATGTATAAGCGAGACCTTGCGAGCAACGCCAGCGTTCTCATATGTTGAATCCTGTCTGTGACTAAACTTTTTCTAAGCTCTTACTTTGTAATAGAGGACATCAATTAGAAATCTCCACCCTCACACGTCCTAGTAGCTAACGATTAAAAATTGAATTTAAAGAATGAAGGGGAGCTTCTAATGAGAATCAGGGCTCTCTTCCATCCTTAGTTGTTAAATGATTAAAAGGGGAAAGAAGAGCCCAAGTAGAGGTATATTTAATAATCAGCGTATTCTATAGAGGGAATTAACGTTAATTTATAGTGAATTATTAAAACTTGAGGTGTGGAATTTCATGGTTCGAGAGGATCGGGAACAGTCGACAAAAAATCAACGAGAAATGATAATTTGACTGAGTTAATCAGCCATGTAAAAATAAAGATATGACGCTGTATTAAGATGACAATGTGTATTTAAATCACAAACTTATCTACAAATATTTTTGAAATAGTAAATATTTTGTAAAATTCATAAAATAATTAAAAATATTTTTTTCAACAAAAAATAATGACGCAAAAATAAGGCTCTATCTTAGGACATGCGTCCCATAAACATTTATGCGTCCCATGAAAGTATATGGGTGAAAGTTTATGCGTCCCATGAAAGTATATGCGTCATAATTTTTTATGATTCCCAGTAAAGCAAGGAAACATGGCACGCAAGTGTTTTAAGATGTTACGGTTTTTAGTCGATGGTGTTTATGTATCTACCGTCGATAATCCCACTATTTCCCCAAGAACCAATTACAAGTTTACATAATATTTGGTTAAAAATTATAAAGATTATGATAGTCGTTCGACTGTGATTGAGGTACGTAGCTTCGGGTTCTGATTTGTCATTTTTTGGAAGCCAGATTGAACTTGGCCAAACACTTGGTTTTGGGTGCTGACTTTTTGCCCCCAGTTTGACTTTTTTGTTA